TTTTTTTCTGGGACACCCTGTATAAGAGTATCGTGAAGTGTGGTAGGGTTGCTCTGGTTGGGGATTACTTATCATTCGTTCGTGGTGCAGTTGACCACGTGAGGGTCACTTACCGTAGTTCCCGTCTAAGACCTATTTACTGTCGACTTCTTCGGTGTGCAAATCAACACTTCATCCTCAACGCTTCTAAACACCTCAAGGACAAGAGGTACAAGGGTCACGTTTTCATCACAGGCCATGTTACACCCAAGCTGAGAGCTGAGCGTAAGGAGCTGCGAGAATATACAAACAGGAATTACTGGTCTCGAGGTGTAAGTCACCTTGATTCGCGTCGGGAAGTAGTCAAACTGACCTACACCGAGGGACCAGTAATTCCTACTATTTTCCCTAAATAAACCATGCTGTATTTGTTTTACTACACTTCATAAATGTTCAAACAGAAATTTCACGTTACTTGTACTCACAGACACCATTGTTGTTTCTCAGCTGCTAAATTTCCATGTAATGACAGTTGAGTGCAGATGTGCATAGAAACAGGGCTTCAGTAGTCTGGTGCTGATCCCGTTTTTGGTCTTTACTGTAATAGTTATTAGGGTACAACTCCAGACTGGTTCCGTAAAGATTACATGACACAGAACACAAATTTACGCGGCGGGTTCCAGAGGGATTTCTTGATGCTACCAGAAAAAACTACCGCACGGCAGCGAGGTAGATACTCACCGCTATGCTGTCACCTGGTTGCGTATCATTTTTACTATCAGACACGAGGTGGAATCGGCGAATGACGCGCTCACATTTGCTCATCCGTTACAAGGTCCGTAATGGCCGGTTCAAATCATATCGTCTTGGTGGAGTTGCATGATCTGTCACAAGCTTCATTGTTTGTTTGTATATCTAGTGCATGTATGTTGTTTACATAATGTGTATTTTTGTTTTTATCTTGTGCATTCTGGTGTAAGAGTGTACATCGTAGAAGTTTATTCCTATTTTACCTTTGTGTTACTCATTTTGTTTTTTCTGCATAACAATTTGTATGAGTCACGTAATTCCTGAATGCGGATTCCAATGTACATCCAGATTAAATCTCCAAGTACCAGAAATTCACTGTCGATATTATGACCAAGATGAGTTCCTGAATAATTTTCATTTGAACACCAATACTAAAATTCTGCATATTAATGCTTGCAGTCTGCACAAAAATATAACAAATATTGTTAATTATGTACAGCTATTGCAAACGAGCTTTTCTTTCATCGGGGTTTCGGAAACTTGGTTGGAGGACATACATGATCCTTTAATCCAAATTCCTAATTATACTGTAGAAGCTAGGGTTTGTGCAGACAGAGGAGTCGTAACCTTAATGGTACCTGGAAACTCATTAGCTCACTACCCAATAAGCAAAGTCAAAAAAACCGTATTCCTGCTTATTTTTGTACTGGCAGTATCAAAACCTCTGATAGCAAAAAAATCGCTGATACCATTATTAAACAAGTATTTTGTTGACATAAGGAGCAAACTTGCAAGTGAGCTGTCGTTGTGTATTACTCCCTTTGATGCATTTTTAGGTAATAGGTGTTCGAATACATTCATTTTTACTCCGGTTATGCAAGAAGAGATTGTTGACAATCTGAACAAATTTCCTTCTGGAAAGGCTCCTGGATTTGATGAATTGAGCTCTTTCTTATCAAACAGGCTAAATATTTCACTGGCCAAACTGCTGACTGTGATTTTCAATAAATCTCTGACATGTTGAAGATTCATTTGGTGCATGACATGTGGCAAAGGGGGTCCCCCTCTCTTTTTCCAGGGGGTGAAGTAGGCACAATAGCCTTAAGGTATGCAGCTAGAGCATCACATTAGGAGGGTCCCCCTTGGCCACATATCGTGTTTGATATATGAGTATTCCTTGAGGGCTTGAAAAGGGCTCAATTCATATCGGTGTATATAAAAAAAGCTCTAAAAATGACATTAGTAATTATAGACCAATCTCTGTTTTGTCAACGTTTTCGAAACTACTGGGGAAGCTAATCTATACACTATTAATATCTTTCATATGCAAACATAACATTATGTTTGAATCCTACTTTGGCTTTAGAAACAATCGCTCTACTGATTAAGAGACATAATAACAAGCTGTTACATTGGCCCACGCTGCACCATGTGCCCAAATTGTCTCAGATTTATTTGTGGATAAAGCGATCCCTATTCAATGTCTTTTTTAGTCTTCTTCAGTATAAATCAGATGGAAACCTTCCTAGGAAGACTTCTCAGTATGTTTTGTACGGGAGGTGTCCTTTTGGGGGCGTGTTCTGCATTGAGATGATCCCGTGGAGCCACCTACGTCTTTTTTTGACACTAATGCACGATGAGCATAAATTGTCTCAGATTGGTTAAACGATCCCCATTCAATGTTTTTTTTCTGTTTTTTTTTTTTTTTCAAATAAATCAGACGGAGGCCTTCCTAGAAAGACTTCTCAGTGTGTTTTGTGGCGGGAGTGGCCTTTTTGGGGGCGTGGCCTGCAGTGGGGTGATGCCGTGGAGCCACCTACGTCTTTTTTGACACTAATGCCGAATGTGCATAAATTGTCTCAGATTGGTTAGACGATGCCTATTCAATGCTTTTTTCTGTTTCTTTCCAAATTTATCAGACGGAGGCCTTCCTAGGAAGACTTCTCAGTGTTTTGTGGCGGAAGTGTCCTTTTTGGGGGCGTGGTATGCCAATTCAACAATACGGAAATACATGGGAGATACCAAAAATACACGGGAAATTCCCGCTATACATGCTAGAATCGCCGTGATTCACTCATTCAGGGCCTTTATAGCACAACAACTGGGCCTAAATAGTGTAAATAATGCCACGTGGCCAGCCTCTCCAGACCCAGGCTTGGCCCTATTGGGCTTATCTAGGACTCCAGGTCAACACACTATCTGTTTACAGTGCTGGCGCCAACCACAAGCTTCCAGACACATCGGCAAGCATCCCTGACATTGGCTTGATGCATTTTCCAAAGGGGACGGAGTATTTTAGAGGGGAGTAGGTATTGCGTGCATTATCATAATATAGCAGTGTTATGTTCACAAACATATGGGAATGGATATGGAACCCCCCCCCGTTTCAGTCACTGCCAGGGTGATACCAAGATTGACACCCCTCGCAATAGTTAGTGGGGGAAAAAGTTGGGAAAAGTCACGGGAGTTCGATCAAGTCATGCGTGGCAGTTAGTAGATCAAATCACTTAATTTCTGAGACAATTTGGGCACACGCTCCCATGTGGCACTTTTCCAAGTCACTTTTCCTGGAAAAGTTTTCCACTGGCCTGTTTTTGGACTTATCAAAAGCATTAGATACGGTTAACCATGATATTTCGACCTGTCACAGGTTGGCTCTCGATTGTCATGGTCGAGACCTG